GGAGAGGAGGGCCTGCATGGGTCTAAGCCAGATGGGGTCCCCAGCCATGTTAACTTATATAGATTACTTACTGCAAATAGAGATCACCGTTAGATATACTTGTATTTTTTATTTTGACTTTATAAGCATAGAATGTTTCTGTATCTGTTTATTTTTGGGAGATACTATTGGGTTTTTATTTCTTTTTGTTGTTATTTTGTTTGGGGGTTAGTGTCTCAAGTAATTGTAGATTAAAGCAGAAAACTTTGTTTTTTACTGATCAGTATTTCTACTAATTATGATCATACTTTATAGGCACTTGAGTTCAAGTTTATTTAGACACATAATAACTTGTGCATTACCTAAATGTGCAGTTTTCACATTCCACTGGTTGACTTCAAATACAACTTGATTTTTCAAAAGGAATTGTACTGCTTTTGTTGTGATGTAAGGGAGTATATTTTCGTTAAAAATGAAAGGTGGGACCTGAACACTGCCAAGGTACCAGTGGCAGCTCCGCCTCCATCCACAGGCCAAGTAGGCAAGGGGCTGTTTCCAGTTCCGGTTAAGTGGCCCTGCTCAGACACATCTGACACCAGGGGTCTGCCCACTGGATCCAAACTCAGCGGTGGGATCCAGCACACCCAGACACTGCCAAGGCCCCGGTAACAGTGACACCTCCATCCACAAGAGGACAGACATCAGAGTATTGGAACTGTTTGCATCTACCAGAAGGGAACATTGGTCCCATACCCACCAGGAGAGGAAGAGACTCCTGCTATTCCCACCAGAAGAAAGGATGAGAAGAGGAAAATGTAAAAGCACATTCAATGACAGAAAACCCAATATGACACCACCAGAGACTAGGAACCATACACCAGCAAGAACATCACAATGCAGATGAAGGAGAAGAGAATGACCTTAAAAACATCTTCATGAAAATTATAGAGAACCTCAAAGAAGACATGAGAAAATCCCTTAAAGAAATGGAAGAAAAAACAAACCAAAAAGAAAAAATACAAGATATCAACAAATCTCTCAGTTCAAGACCTAAAAACTGAAATAGAGACAATAAAGAAAGCACAATCTGAGGGAATGCTGGAAATAGAAAAGCTGGGTAAACAATCAGGAACTACAGACATAAGCATAACCAACAGAATACAAGAGACTGAAGAGTGAATCTCAGGAGTTGAAGATACACTAGGAGAAATAGACTCATCAACCAAAGAAAATCTTAAGTCCAACAAATCCCTAACACAAAACATCCAGGAAATATGGGATACCGTGAAAATACCAAACCTAAGAATACTAGGTATAGAAGAAGGTGAAGAAATCCAATTTAAAGGTGCAAAAAACATATTCAACAAAATCATAGAAGAAAAAAATCATAGAAGAAAACTTTCCCAACCTAAAGAAAGACATGCCAATGAAAATACAAGAAGCCTACAGAACACCAAATAGACTGAACCAAAAAAAAGGTTTCCTCACCACATAATAATCAAAATACCAAACATACAGATCAAAGAGAAAATATTAAGAGCAGTAAAGGAAAAAGGTCAAGTAACATATAAAGGCAAACCTATCAGAATTACACCTGACTTTTCCATGGAAACTCTGAAAGCCAGAAGGTCCTAGATAGATATTCTACCTACACTAAGAAACCACGGATGCCAGCCCAGACTACTATACTCAGCAAAGCTTTCAATCAATATAGATGGAGAAAACAAGATATTCCATGACAAAACCAGATTCAAACAACAGCCCTACAGAAAGTTCTAGAAGGAAAACTGCAACCCAAGGAAGTTAACTACAACCAGAAAAATATAGGCAATAGATAAACCCACTTTACCAACAGCCAAAAGGAAAAAGGGATAGAATCCTACACATAATCTTACCACCATCACCAAATCAAAAATAAAAAAGAATGAACAATCAATGGTCATTAATATCCATCAACATTAATGGTCTTAACTCGCCTATAAAAAGACACAGATTAGCAGAATGGATAAGAAGACAGAATCCATCCTTCTGCTACATACAAGAAACATACCTCAACTTCAAAGACAGATGGTACCTAAGAAGTAAAGGTTGGGGAAAGATTTTCCAATCAAATGGACCCAAGAAACAAGAGGGGGTAGCAATCCTAATATCCAACAAATTGGACATTAAACTAAAGTCAACCAAAAGAGATAAAGGAGGTCACTTCCTACTCATCACAGGAGAAATCCATCAGGATGAAGTCTCAATTCTGAACATCTATGCCCCAAATACAAAGGCATCCACATTAGTAAAAGAAACATTACTAAAACTCAAATCACACATAAAACAGCACACACTTATAGTGGGAGACTTCAATACCCCACTCTCACCACTGGACAGGAACACCAGACAGAAACTTAACAAGGAAACAAAAGAACTATTAGAAGTTATGGCGCAATTGGACTTAACAGACATCTATAGAACATTCCATCCAAATAAAAAACAATTTATCTTCTTCTCAGTGCCACATGGAACCTTCTCTAAAATCGACCACATACCAAACCTCAACAGGTATAAAAAATTGAAATAACCCCCTGTATCTTATCAGACCACCACCCTTTAAAGTTAGAATTCAACAACACCACGAATTACAGAAAACCTACAAACTCATGGAAATTAAGTAACACACAATTGCACAAATCCTGGGTCAAGGAAGAAATAAAAAAAAAAAAGAAATTAAAGATTTCCTAGAATTCAATGAGAATGCGAACACAACATACCCAAACCTATGGAACACTGAAAGCAGTGCTAAGAGGAAAGTTCATAGCAGTAAGTGCCCACCTGAAGAAACAGGAGAATAATCACACTAGAGAATTAACAGCATAACTGAAACTTTAGAACACAAAGAAGCCAATACACCCCAGAGGAGCAGATGCCAGGAAATAATCAAATTGAGGGCTGAAATTAATAAAATGGAAACTAGGAGAACAATATAAAAAATCAATATAACGAAGGTTGGTTCTTCAAGAAAATCAACAAGATAGACAAACCTTTATCCAAACTTAACACACAGCAGAAAGTGAACATGCAAACTAATAAAATCAGGAATGAAAAGGGGGATATAACAACAGACACAGAGGAAATCCAAAGAATTATCAGGTCATACTTTGAAAACCTATATTCCTCAAAATTTGAAAATCTAAAAAAAAAAAAATGGACAATTTTCTATACAGATTTCACTTACCAAAATTAAATCAAGAACAGATAAGCAATTTAAATAGACCTATAACCTCTAATGAAATTGAAGAAGTCATTAGAAGTCTCCCAAACAAAAAAAGCCCAGGGCC